TGCAAATTGTTATCTCACAATTATGTGAGATATAAAGATGTAAACTCAGAATTCTAGATTTCTTGCAATTCCTAGTTTACATCATGCAGTTGTGGTGGCTCTATTTCCACCACAAAATAAAAAGGTAATCATAATTCTGACTTTTTTCTCGCATTTGCAGGAAAAAGGCAGAATTATTTACATTTACATTTAGTCATTTAGCAGACACTTTTATCCAAAGCGAGTCGTGACTTACAAATGAGGACAATAGAAGCAATCAAAACCAATAAAAGAGCAATAATGTATGTATGTATATATATATATATATATGTATGTATGTGTATATATATATATATTAGGGCTGTCAGTTTAATGCATTAACTTAATTGATTAAAATATTATTTTCGATTAAAATATTTTAAAGCAGTTAACGCACTGGCCCCGCCCCCATACCTGTACGTCATACATTTCATACACTTGACTGACAAATATGATGCAGGGTAACAACTCCATAAATGAAGTTATGCCCTAAAATTCAAGATATTGGTGCAAGAAAAAAAAAAAAAAGCCCCTGCATGAGTTTCACATGATAAGCGATATCACACGAGTGCAGTTTTTGTCTTGAATATAACGAGTGCAAATGTGATTTTATACAATAGTTCAGTAAATAAGAAGTTAATATTGTGTTATATTTATTTTAAACACAATATTGTCTGTTTCTGCTCAGTTTTGTCAACAAAAATATTACCTATAAAGCCACAGCAGAACTTTTGTGCGTCTCTGAGCAACACAGCGGTGGTTAGTTTCTGAATGAACCCGCGTTTTGAACGAATCATGTGAACCAATGATTCAAAGACCCGTTTATAGAGAGAGCCTTTTACTGAATTCCTGAATGAATCAGCCGTTTGAACGAATCGAATGAAGACATTTACCACCACCTGCTGGCAGTTTTAGTTTCTTATTTAGAGTATCATTTCATAAAAAAAGGGGAAAAGAAATCTTCAAAGGGATAGTTCACCCAAAATGTTTAAATTATGTCATCATTTACTCAAACCTGAGTAACTTGCTTTCTTTTGTGGAACATAAAAGAAGATATTTTGAAGACTGTTGGTAACAAAGCTGTTTGGTTACCAATGACTTCCATTGCATGAACGGAAAAAAGCAAAACACATTATCTTCTTTCATGTTCCATAGTTTATGTTAGGCCATTGTAGCCTAAACGTTTATGTGCGATTAATTTTATGTTGAATCAAATAAAATATTTCTTTCTAAAGTTACTATTTTTAATGTCTACTTGATACTTTCTCATTTAACAAAAAATAGCTTTAAATAACATTTTGGGGGTATTTTCACTGCCAAATGTAATTTGTGATTAATTAGATTAATTAATTGACACATCATGTAATTAATTAGATTTAAAAAATGTAATCGACTGACAGCCCTAATATATATATATATATATATATATATATATATACTGTATATATATATGTAATTATGATGACCTTTTTTATTTTGTGGTGTATAGCCACCACAACTGTGCGATGTAAACTAGGAATTTAGATAGCAAACTGTTAGAAATTCTAAAATCAGAATTGTGAGATAAATGTCCAAATTGTGAGAAAAAAGTCACAATTACCTTTTTTCCCCTTTTTTTCTGTGGCTGAAACAGGCTTCAGTATTAACCTACAATTTAAACTTAGCAGATTTTTGGGTATGGGAAAATATGAGCCAAAAATATCATAGCCTACTTTTTTACAATCCTATCAAATCGAGCTACAGCTAGTGTTGTTTTTGGCGGCCTGTTTTAATTTTAGTTTTAGTCTAGTCTTTGTGTGAAACTGTCATTTTAGTTTTTATTAGTTTTAGTCACGTTAATACTCTTTTTAGTCTAGTCAAGCTTTAGTCGACTAAAAGTCTGAGCATTTTAGTCTAGTTTTAGTCGACAAAAACTGATGACATTTTAGTATAGTTTTAGTCGACGAAAACTGATGATTTTAGTCTCTTTTTAGAAATGCAATTCTATTTAACCCAGTCAATATAGTATAAGTACCTAGCAGTATAGACGAAACCAACATTTTATTTTAGCCAAACCCATTTCAAACAAGGTTATCTTATTATATTATTGTTACCTTATAGACTCAAGAATACATCCATTCCAGACACGGAAGACGCTCTGATTTGAATTTACAACATTTATTTTACCAACCAAACATGTTAGAAGTACACACACAATTGAAATAAAGACGAACCCCGGCTGGCAGGCCATCGGTCCCTTTCTCTGTGTCAGACTTAACTTTGTTTGGTTTTCGTCTTCTAAATCGGTGTTTCCCAACCTTTCTTTAGTCACGGCACCCTTTGGAAATTTTTACAAATTTGTGGCACCCTACAAAATGAATTTTGTCACAATATTTGAATTTCTAACTTCGATATGATAATTTGAAAAGTATAGATATTCGGTACAACAGGGAAGAACTGCAGAATATAATGTCATACAGATATTTTTAATATTATAAAAATAAATGTGTCTATCAATGGTGGCAATCAGTAGGCTAATTTCTAATGAAGAGACCAATTTATATGACAGATTTTAATGTAGGCTTTTATTCATATGTAAACATTGTGAGATAGCAAGTTATACTGGTAATTAAACAAATTTTTGATTTTACAGCTGGGTAATTTTGTTGCAGTAGCACGAGATAGCTTGATTTAAAACTTTGAATTGAATAAAAAATGACAAGGAGGCTAAGCAGTTAATAATAAAATAAGAATAAATAAAATTCCCAAGTGGCATACCATTGTAAATACAACAATGTTAGACATCATCTTGCATGATAACCGGCAGATATAGTTGAAAAGCGGATTTAACTTCATAATCCTTCCCAGAGGGTGTCATAAATCAGCCTCATTTACATACAGCTGTTCAGATGTGTCCTAGTTCTCTCAGCTCAAATCATAATATCTCTGGATTTTGACCTGAAATTGGTTCATATGAATGTCAGCGGATGAAAGGGAGGATTGACATGCGGAGGTTTGGGTAGTCCTTAAACTCCCGGGTGTAAGTTTTGTGTTTTCCTTTGGCCCAGATGGTCATTTGAACAAAACCTACAAGTGTGAAGCGAGCCACTGCAAAAAATAAAAAATAAAATAAATACATTAGTTTAAAAAAATAAGATCAAATATTGAACATTTTCATTTTTCTATATTAATAAAGTATTTATTTATTAATATATATATATATATGTGTGTGTGTGTATATATATATATATATATTACAAAAAACCAATAGCAAAAAATGTCAGTAAAAATGTAAATGAACAACTTTCATATATTAATATATTTTAAATAATATATATTTTTGTAGCTCAGTATATATATCAAAATCACAAAGTTTGATGGAAGTCGCTCACCTGGCACACACTGGGTTATGATGGACAGGCCCACCCAAGCACCCATCTGATGAATATTTTAAGCAAAGAGCTGATGAATCAGTCAGAGGTAGTAGAAAGTGTTATATATTTGATTATGGCAATGGTGCTGTTACCTCATATGTATAGTTGGGACATGATACAAAGTAAAAGAGCCACGTAAAAGGGTTTTTAGATGGATGTGGGAGTCTCCGACATTTTTCACCTTTAAACAACAACAAAAAATTGGCTCAAACACAAGTATCCTGATCTGTTATGCCACAGAAATGTGACGTTTTTTTTAATACACCCACCTTCACATTTTAAACTGTTCAGTGACCAGTGGATGGAAAAATTTCCTGCCTCACATAACTGGAATACAAACAATATACATCATGTTTGTTCATTTATCTTTAATACAGAATGTGGTCCATACATAATAGGTTACATTAGATTTTTAAAGTGGTACCAGAGGTTTGGACACCTATGTGGTATGTTTATTAAACCAGAAACATTACATACCACAAAAATAATTAGTGCATAAGTTGACCCGTGTCTCTGCTGTAAAACATAAAAACAAGTTTAATGTATTAAATGAACATGATTATTAAATAGGTTTGCCTCTGCTAGTACTCACATGGTGGAGTGTAGAGAGGATGGTTAATGTAGTATGCTAGCCAAGCTGCAAAACCTCAGTAATAAGCACAATTCTGTGAATTCAGAGAATTAGCTTCAGCTTTGAGGACACACTGGTAGTTTTCCTAATCATAACAGTATTGTTCAGTTTGTCAGATTGCTCAGAAAATAACTGAACTGCATTAAATAACCGTTTTAATATATTTCTGAAGTAGACAAATTACTTCTCAGACTAATTTTAATTTGACTTCGCAAACCAGACCAGTCTGACCAAACACTCACCCTTATAATGGCTCTGAGAGGCATCGTGCCATTAGAAAATCAATGCACAAAGATTGTTTCAAATAGCCTCTTGATATAGTCAGGGGTGGATATAGTGATTTGGGGGCCCCAGGCAAAATACAGGAATGGGGCCCTATACAATTTCACACATTTACAACCTTGAGGTTCCTTTCACTGTTGCTAGCTACTGCACGACCGTGTCCCATAGTTGTGTCTAATCTTTTAGATTTTTTACGTACATGTTATAAATAAAGGATTTCTTTAATATTGTAAATCCCTTGTTCACATTTAAACAGGTTATAATAGTATTAGAGTAGGTTGGGCACTAGGTGGTGCATTGGGGTAATTTTCACTATGCAATTGTCTACACAACGCAAGGCTGTCTAATTCTAAACTTTATTTTTATTTATGTTAATTGCACTTTTAAATTAAACTGAAGGAAATTATAAATTTACATGCTTAAGGATTATTTCAACCAAACATGAAGTGTGCCTGTGTGGAAAGTGACTGTGCACGGTCCTTCTTGAGTCTTTCACAAAAACGAGTGAGCGCCATTTAAAAGAATTAAAATAGGCCCTATATAATATGCACTGTTGCATAGTATTAAAATTATAGCTTCAGATGCATGATATTTGTAGGGCCCTATGAAATCCGTTTTATTTTTCCCAAAATCTTTTTTTCCTTTTAAATTTTTCT